TCGAAAGAAGTGATAAAATAATACGTCTAAATAAAACAGATGATGATCAGTTTATTAGTATATCAACTTAAAAGACCTCTTGAATGCATCATTAAGATACCAGTGAAGATTACGATACTCAAACAAACTATCCTGATTAGTTTCTTAAAAATTCAAACATTCTAAAGCTTTAAAATGTTAAAGGCTATACATGGTAACACTAAATGGAATTTAAATAACTAGAAATAGATGCTTGCACAGGTCCTGTGACATAATTATTTCAATAGTTGAAATCATGAATCAATTGAAGCTAGACCACCATGGAAAACACCATTAACATGAAAATTATTGTTTTTTCCTACCCGATCTTAGTAAATTGTTGATGAGGCTGTTTAGATATTTACGAGAAGTCGGGTTTAACGAGCTTAAAACACTGCCTTTTTGATGTGTTTTAGAGTATAATGAAATATTTTGTTCATTGGATGTCGAATAATGAAATTTACTCGGTTGATAGTTACTTAATATTTTTATTAAAATGATCGTTTTCAGTTATGAAATTATGTTATATTACAGCGATTGATAACCGATTGTATTATAAAACTTGTAAACCTAACTACTTTAAGTAATAAGTAATAAGGTGTATCTTCACATGGAGATTATCGTGATAATTTCTTTCAAACAACGAAATAATATATATATATATATATATATATATATATATATATATATATATATATATATATATGACATTGAGTCACATTTAAAGGAGTAATTTTGTTAATTATATTTGTTAGTCAAAGACGGTTAGTTTTTTAATATTGTGTAACCATATTTATATAGTAAATTACTAATTGAATAATATCAAGTATTACTCAGTTTAATGTATACAGATCTAATTATGAATCAGTGTAAATCATATAAAAATTAATGTGTCCATCTATTTGACCCATTATGGAAGTCCAGTAAATCCTTATCTATCGTGTTCCTATTCTAACTTCCGTCATCTGACTCTCAATTCCCAGCAGTAAATACCACATTTTATCAACATTTACAACACGATCTCTATGACAAAATTAAAAAAAAACAAATATTTTCAAAAAAATAAACAAAATATCAAGGACATAAATTGTTCTATTTACTAAATAAAACAGAAAAAGAAATTCAAAACACCATTAGGAGAACATAATTGATTTTTGTGATTATCTACACTTTGTAAAGCTTATGGAAAATTTATTTCGCGAATTCACTACATTTTACAACACTTTGGTAAATCAATTAGTATGTTTATAAGATCATGTAGTATATATATATATATATATATATATATATATAGAGAGAGAGAGAGAGAGAGCGAGTGAGAATAATAAATTTTATAGTTATAATTCTTATTTTACATACTTCGTTAAATGAAAGACCAGACGAGATCGCTTGTAATGCTGCTGTAGCATTAAAATGTTTTGGATAATGTTCCATTAAAATAAATGTTACCGGTTCACCATTTTCATTTCTTGTCAATACAGGATGGTGAATGTAGTTTTCATTTTTTTCATTGAATAATCATCATGAAAATGGTAAATAATACGATTATCATAACGGATATTATGATGAATTTTCAAATCCAATAATATTGTATTATTGTATTGAATTTTATCATTTTGATTATAGAAAGAAATAAAATTCGTAAATCAATTCGTTATTGTTATTTGTTTTAAATCATAATGATTAATAAATTTTGATTGATAAATAAAATTAATCCATATTATTTTAGATAATGTCATTTCTTCTAATTTATTATATGAACATACTGTATAGTTTTTTAAATTGTTTCTATTTAAAATGTAAATCACTGAATAAAATAAAGTTTGTAAAAATAGTATATACAGTTCTTCTGAACTTAATACTTATTTTAATTATTAATGTTATTATCTTTATACAGATTGGTTTGATGATTAGTTCAACGGATTGTTTGTATAATTTCATTTGAATACGAATTGAAGCCGACCATATATATATATATATATATATATATATATATATATATATATATATATATATATATATATATATATATATATATAAGTATTGTTACCCACAGAATGATATATTCGGTATTTCATAAAACAATAAATGTTAAATTCCATAATAAACAATTCAATTCATAAATATTAGTAAATATTTTACAATTTTTAATCGAGAACTATTTAATTAAAAGTTTAAATAAATTTTAAATGTTCATATTTAATAAATAAATTAAAAAAAAATAAGTTATGTGTATTTGGATACAAATTTTTAACGTGCTTTTTAATATCTTCAAAATAATCGATATAAAGTGTGTATTTAATGATAAGATTTAATTAAATACTCTGTTGTTGACTCTCAGAAGTATTTGAAATAGTTTTGATAAAATAAAATCAATTTTCAGCTGAATAGAATTCGGTAAGTATCAATGAATATGTTTTTTAACAAAAAAACAAAAATAAAATATCACTGGTTGAAATCATGAGTCAATTGAAGCTAGACCACCATGGAAAACGTGGAAGCACTGGACGGCTGTTTCGTCCTAGTATGGGACTCCAAAAAACCTCTTCTGATAACATTTAAAATAGCTAGAAGTTTGGATAAGGATTAAGATGTATGGTTAAGGTAAAAGCTTATGTATAATAGTTAGGATTAGAATAAAATAATGTTATAATCATATAGGTGAATATATAATCAGTTAGTTTTTTTGATTTTAAATGCCAAGAGTATTTACGTCTGCTATTTCTTATAAGTTAATCGATTTTAGACTTTTTATTAACTAAATATTTGTAGGTTTATACTGGGTCTTTAATTAAATTTACCAACTATTAGAATAAATCTATTTAATTCATCTGTAAAGCATACTTTTACCATAATATGGACACAAGTCACGATGAACTAATTATTGACTAATATATATATGAAGTGATAACCTTTTTTTTCTAAATTTAAGAAACTAAGTTGTAGTCCAACGTGATATCAAACCTTGTGAAACTTTCAAGCAGTTTTGTTGGTGTTCCACAACATTTATTGATAACCATGAGATGGTTTAGTTGAATAGTGAATAATTTATTAACTAATTGATTTTCAGGTAGAAATTAGTTTATTATTCTTCTGTGTTCATTAAATGAAAATGAAAATTTCTAGTACTTTTATCAATTTAGGATTAAACCAAGATACATAAATATTTCCGAAAATTTAGAAATAAATAGTGGCAAAAATAAGTTGTACGTCTTTCAAATTAAGAGAATTAGGAATCAAATAAGGTGAGTTATAGCGTGCTGTGAATAGAAATGAAGCTAAACATGAAATGTTTAGCTTGCACCATTTTTAGTAATTCTGTGAGATTCATACTGGAATCATCCTCAGTTTTGCCATTTAATTCGTTAGTTGTCAAAAATATTTTAACTTTCAGATCAAAGAATGCTTCCCGAATTCAAATTTCTAACTGAATTGGTGAATATTTGTTTATCTAGTTAGTCTTAAAGTATTTAAACGGATTGAAAACAATGTGTTATGACCCTGATTTAGTGCGTAATTTTAAATTTCTTGAATGAAATGTTCGTTAAAGTTTAACCTTGAAAGATAGCGAATTATTTGAAGGCTTAAATAGTGTACAGTATTATAAGCAGAGATGCATGGTGGCTAGCAGTGGAATCCAGGACGCGCGTTTCGTCCTATTTGGGACTCGTTATCTTGATGTACTTGCATCCCAGAGTTGATGTTCATTCCGAGAGAGCTTCTGTCAGTGAATTTGGCTAAGACTTGTTTATTGCATTGAAAGCGTATTAAAAAATATTGGTGAGTTATCATATATCCGGCTGGTTTAAAAAACATTTCAACGTGCAATCTCATTTCTTAAGAAACTCGGAATAAAGATATCCCTAAAAACTTCATGTCTTAGGAATTTGATCAATCCATTTTTACAAAGTTGATAAAGGCAATGAATTGAAAGGTACATAATAATCCTTGGAGACGTTTACTGATGGTAATCTTGTAGCTATCATCTATGTTGCTGATATTCTTGTAAATTATCAAGTAGAAAGAACAACCGTGAAGTCGAGGAGTTTGAAAACTTTCACATGACTGCTCATTTCCACACATTAACACTTATATTCACAAAGCTTCAACACATTCTTACCAATTTGCCTGATAAAAATACTAAACTTGATAAATAGAAAAGATTGCTGAAATACTACACGTTACCAGGCTATATCAGAAAGACGAGGCAGAACTATAAAATCTAAGTATGAATACCAAGCTTTAACTTGATAGTTGCAAATATATTAGGTATTGGGTTTATTTTTGTTATGAGATCTCCCGTTTTTCAGCATGTGTTTGATTAACATTTACAATTGTATGATCATTCTAAATTATTCACAATGACGTACATAATCTACCGAAACATTGTATGAGTACATCGCATCTGGATTGTGAGGGTGTTAGCTCTGTCTAATGAGAGAGTTTGAACGGTTATTTTAATTTTAAAGGCATCAGTTCACTATATGTTTCTGTATTTCCATTCATATTTTGATCTCTATCCGTTCTTTGTCGTTACCTTACATGTTCTTCTTACTCACTTCACTCTAAACTTAACTAAAATTCAGAAGTTTCTTTTACTCCTTTACCATTCATATTGTCATGTCATCTTTTATCAAACTACATTTACCTACTTCATTAAAACTTACTATAATTTTTTACAATGCTGTCGAGTCTTTAAACATTCATCTTTTCTATTTTTAATTTTACCATAAATTACCAACTATACTCCACGAACCTCAACCATAAAGAAACAAACTAATCGACAAAACTGTTATTACATTAACTATTCTAAATAAATATAATTCATTAAAGATCCAGATTTTTAAAAACAAAATTGTCTTCAATGAAGTAGTAAGACCCGGATCAAAAGTAAGATTATTGAATTCAAGTATATAGATAAGATAGTTTTCAATAATGTAAGTTAAAAAGTCATTGACTTACATTATAAATAGTTACTAGAGGTAAATTTTAAGCAATTTACATTTATTTCGACAATAAAAGAATCTAACGGTTGAATTTATGAGTCGATCTAACTTAAACCACCCTGGAAAACGTGGAAGTACTGCACGGCTGTTTCGTCCTAGTATGGGACTCTTCAGCAATACGCATCCATGATCCCGCGTGCAGGACGAAACGGCCGTCCAGTGTTTCCATGTTTTCCAGCGTGGTCTAGCTTAAATCGACTCATGAATTCAACCATTAAATTACAATTTCCACAAACCCTCATTCTGACAATAAAAGAGCTAATCAATAATAAAAAATCAGTTATCATTGAACGAATTTATGAATGACAAAATGACAAATTGTTTATACTTCATATTCATCATCTAAAATGAGCAGACCTTTTCTGTTAAGTAAATGAGCAAGTGTTTATTTATTTTGGCATACCGCTGCTCCAGTTCATGGTACGTTTACTGATTTTATAATATACATTTATTCCACCTGACATAATATCTTTTTTAGTTAAAGAAGGGCCAATAATGTTCAAATGAACAAGTGTTATATTTAATTTATTAAATAAGATCCCTAAATAGGCATCGTCAATGCGTATTTCTTTAACAAAAGCACTTGCAATAGCAAGGCGATGCACCAAGCTTGCACCAATAATATAAGTCAATCCATGATAGTACGGCGGATAAGATATCCATGGAAATTCTTTTACAGTCATTGCCCAGACACTACTTGTTTTATTAACCATTGGTCTGAAAACAGTTCGAGATGAACGGATGTAACCTCCATTCATATTTCTTAAATAGTCTTCAGTATTATTATTATAAAATGTTATTACATTCTTTGGTACTAAATCATAGTCATCATCTATGAACAAATATAAAGGGACTTGTTTTGGACAAAATGCTGAGAGCCATCTTAAACAAAATATCATCTTCTTTGTTAAGTTGTAATATGTATCATGAAATGATCCAATCAACAAATCATCATATAAATCAGCCTCCAATGACAACTGTTTTACAAACGGCCACTTGGAACTTCCATAATGTTTTGAATATCTCCACCACTTCGTATCCAAGACATATGTATTTCCGTCAAATCTAAAGAAATTTGATTCGTTTTCCATGGGGATTCCTAGGACAAATACAAACTGAACACTGAAATTCGGCCATAATTGCTTCTGCATAAATGTTCGTCTTGCACGGTAACGGTTTTTGAAGTTATACACTGACGATTTAATTATTACTATCAGATTTGGAATGAACTCATTGTTGTATGATCTGCAGACAGATTTAGGAACCCGAAGTGTAAACATTTCTGGATTATTGATAGGGTTCTGAAAGATAAAATAGTTTTTACTTTATGTGGAGAATATCAGAAAAATTAAAATAATTAATCATCCAATGTAGTTGTTATCTATTCTACTTTAGATAAGCTTAATGTGGATCTTTTTTCATCAGTTGTGATATTTTCTAGATGAAAGGATTTCATGGTGAGAATTTTTATCTACAGAAGATATTCGTCATGTATCGATCTAGATTTAGCTACTAATGAAAAGCAAAAATATTGTATATATATACTTACCATGTGAATTGGAATTGCATTTTGTATATCATAGATCAGCTTTGAAAAGTTCAAATTTTGTGGAAATATAGAATAGTCAGTTGAATTCGATCCCATGTATTCTGGTTCTATACCAGTTAATAATTTCTCTTGTTTGTAGCTGTTAAATACCATATCTGCAAATTTATTGTAAAGGTCTTTATCCTTAGAATCTGTTGCGTTATGTGCAAGTGAAAACTGTAATGCAAGATTGAAACTATGTAAGCGTTTATCAATTAAGTATGTAACAGAAGGTGGTGGCCAACGTTGCAAATATGAATCTAGAAAGATAATTTTTTGATTACCTATCAGATTCAAATATTTAGTACATCTAATCCATGAATGTTTAGATCTGATGCAATTTTTGAAATATTCATTCTCATTAATTTCATATAATGGAGAATGATAAACTAATAATTTTATGCTAGATAACCATATGATGACGAGGTAAATTATACACACACTGCTAATAATAATCAATCCTTTTTGGATTTGTAACATTTGAATAAACGAAAGACTAGTTAATACACCAAGTAGTTATGAGAGTTGTAGAACCTTTTAATCAGTAATATGTATTAATGTAAGTGAATAAAACAAGAACTGTCAAAAAAAAAATCAGTACGATCTTATTTCTGAATATTGAAAATGGTCGATTTCAACTGTTCATGTTATGTATGTTAAAATGTACATTTATTCATGTATAATCTATAAACAGCCATTGTTCGGGTTTAGGGGGTTCAATGACAGTTTACTCTCAGTTAGACACACGAATAGAAGTTTATTTAAGACTTAATTTTGGGTTAGTTTGTCAAAAAATTCAAACATTTAAAGAAATAACTTCAAGTTTCCGTTCATTGGGCGTTATTTTATTGAATGGTTTTTATTGTTCACTTTCTACTGTGCTCATAAAGTTCATTAGGAGCAAATAAGCAATCATAATACAGATTTAGCCCTCAGATCAATCACTAATAAAGCATAAAATGAGGATGTGGCCTTCTAATCAAATGTTATATATATCAGTCTAACATTTTCTCTGAAGAATGAGGAATTTATCAACCTTCTCGTAGGATTTAAGTCTACTGTTTTATTGATCAGTATTTGAAGGCGAAAACAAGACATTTATATTGTATGGGTAAGGTTTTTCAGGCAGTCCGATGAAATAAAGTAACAAGGGGATATTCCACTAATGTTACTGGTTAAGACTACAGATTTTGTGTTAGCAAACCAAGGAGATAACCTAAGTAGTATATCGGAAACTCTGTTAGCCGACGTGATCTTGAAACATGATGGCTAAAAGTAAAGAACTAAAATTACTTAGGAACAATTTAGATAGGTTTTAGGCTAAGGTAAAACTAGTTAGGTAATCCAACCAGTTGGAAGCAACAATTTTTTAAATACTTCTATTACAGGACATTACCTAAAACTCATAAAAAAGGGTAAAAAGAGTGTTACTCTATCGTTAAGTGAGTGAATGAACTGTTTAAGCCACTGAACCTATGTCTGTCACTACATTTTAAGTAACTCTCTCGAAATTATTGACTACACTAATAATTGACGATTAATGTTTTATCAAGCTTATCATATTTATTTAAGAATGTTATACATAACAATAGAATAAGCCTTATATGTAGGTACATTTATCTTACCTAAAGGATCATTCTCAGATCTGACTTAAATTTCGAATGAGATCCACTTATAGATAGGCAATAGTACATTGGAGTAGCCATTAGGACCATTACTTAGTTATTCCTTCTGGGCGTTAGCAAGAATGCATATTCAGGAGACAATATTAACGATAATTTGAGTATTTGCGACGAATGTTTGGAATCTGACTTACTTGTTTACTTAAAACATTTAGTGAATCCCATTCACTAGTCCATACAACTCACCTATGAAAAAGAAATAGAACCTACGATCTCGTTGCTATGTATTTTACCAATCAGATCTCATATGACCTAGTATAGCATTAGCGTTAGCTAGATGAATAAAATCCAAGATTTCTATCTACAAAAATAGTTTATATAATTATTTTAGTGACCATGATTATAGTTTCCATCGTATTTGCAAACTCTTTCATTCATCTTTTTCTATTTTATTTCACACTCTTAAACTATATCTCTTCTTGCCCCGTTTGATCAACAACATCCAACCATGATACTGTATAAAATGTATTAGTCTTGTTTTATTATTATTATTACTATTATTAATTTTATCACTATCACGCTATTTGTTAGGGTTGAAGCTTAACGAGTTCACTTAGATTTGCGAACAAGAACGAGATTCGATGACCAACTACCAGTGAGCTAGCTAATGACGCGTCCCAGCCCCAGCTATCTAGATGGAGAAGTCCAAGCTTGAAATGAGAAGTATATTCTGCAACAACCAGAACGTGCGATTCCAACAAAACAATTTAAAACATATATATATATATATATATATATATATATATATATAATCGATATTGTCATTTAAATTTTTAAACATTAGTCAATAAGTTCGTCAATTGATTGCTATTCAAAGATTTAAACATTTAATCGATAAGTTAATCGATAAAATTACAAATGTGAGTTTTTGGAGAATTTATCGTCCCCAACACTATTCTAAGTGGTAAAAATATTCATCTACCTACTCAAACAATTACATTAACGCCTTCCACTGTGAAGTTAAATCTTTAACCGTCTATTTCTAATATTTCTGATTCAGCCTACTATTATTTACTACAGTCCATGAACTGTACTCGTAAATGTGTTTAATAACGGTTATCCCAGTCATCACACAATTGCACATCTCAAAATAAAAGGTTTTTCCTTTTCTGAAATATTTATTTGATATTGAAGATAACTTATGCTAATCGTACGCCTGACTGATTCATGCATTGTATATTAAAATTCACAGTCAATTTACAATAATCTTTAAAGAAAATAATGAAATAAGGGAAAAATCTTTATTATTATCAGAAAATAACTATAATGTACCTTTTTTTAAATTTCAAACAAGAAATTTTATTTTTCGCACAAGAACGATTGAAAACCATATTGAAACTGATAAAAGTTTGTATATTTTATTCATCTATGATTAATCCACTTAGCCAGTCAACAAACGTTTATCTTGAACATCCAGCGACTGTAATTGCTTTGTACTTTTCATCTATGTATGGATTGATAGAAAAGTTGTTTACATTAATAAGAGATTGATTTAATTGTTTCATTATAATTTTCAAAAAAGCATCGTTGATTCGAAGTTTTTGAGTTAATGATGGAGTATTATGTACAACATTTGTCCCTAAAATATATCATACATCGTTAAAATACGGTGAAAATTGTTCCCAGGGATACTCATTTATCCAAAATGACCAACGATAATTAAACATACCTTTCGATCTTTCCACATTTTCAGAATAAGATAAATCTATTGCAATCGACTTGACCTTAAATGTTTTCAGTTCTTGGACTAATTTGTTCCCAGAATTTCACATTAAGTAATACAATATTTTGTGGTGACTTTTAGATTCTCTATCTACTTTCATTACTAGTAATGGCAAAGGACGCTAGGTGGATCCAACAAGGATTTGAAGTAATAACTGCTTCTCACTTTTGAGTGACAAATCTGAAGTAAACATCCACGCTCATATTTTGAATCAGACCTATTCTGATTGCTTCAGGTGTATACTTAGTGAGAGAAGCATTATAGTGAACTTTTACTGATGCTACATTGATTGAACAGATTGTATTCATTTGAATAACCCTTCTTTTAGCAGCTTGAACAAAAACAATCCACATACTTCAAAAAGCTACACACAACTACCAAAACGATTATATTAGACATATAGACTTTCAACTTTCTAAGCCAAGTTTAAGAAACAGTGTCAGTTATAAACTGTCGAATGAGTACCTTGGAAACTGGTACTAGAACAGAGTACTCGAGGGATTTGAATTTGTGATATAGATTATAGAGTCACCGTCCAGCAGAGAACGTTATTTGAACACAGTGACAGTAACTCATTTTGACACAACTTCTGTCAGTAACGTGAATCACTAAAAACGTATTACTCCTTCGTTTAATCGAGGCTGACTTTCAAGCAACTCATATCGTATGTGTTGAGTTAGATAAGCATCAGTGCATTGCATATAAATATGGGTACACATTAGAATATGATTGTGAGAATTAACTTTTTAGTAACACCAGTTTTTTTTTCATTTATTAATGTGCATATAAACATCGTGGATACTTTATGATTGTTTGTAAAACAATTTGCTGTCCTACTAAGATTTCATGAGTTTTGATAATCTCATAAATCACTTATACATAAAACCTTGGCAGATATAATACCACAATACTTCACTAGTTCACTAATTTTCATGTTTGTTTTGAAATTTATATGCTTAAGTATTCAAAATATGATTAGTTAGATAACTCATTTGCGACTCGAATCAACCATCCGAAATAGTTTTTAATAATTCAGTAATATTAAAATATTCTGGGTTATGTTTATGATATGTTTTATTAAATAAATTTTCATGTTTAACTTGATGTACAATATTATTGTCATTACTCATTAAATAATATCCATTGAACTGATACTAGATTTTTATAGAAAAGCTTAAAATCAATGTTAAAAAACATATTAAAAGGGATAAAACCAGTAAATCGATTAAAACTTAGCAGTATAACAGAATGATCACAAATATTTACAGAATTCAACTAATTAAAAAAAATTGTCAAAATTTTTTCGTTGTTACAAATACACTAAACATGTCATTATTACATAGCAATTCCTTTGACTATCATTTTGGAGTTGCGGAGATTATTAATTTTTTGATTGAGATCATTAATTAATTGATGTTAGACTGTTGAGAAGTCCTATACTAGGATGAAATGGCCGTCTAGTGCTTTCAGGTTTTCAATGACGGTCTAACATCAATTGATTCATCATCTCAATAAAAAAGAGATTTTCAATCATTAAGATCATGAGTCAGTTGAAGCTAGACCACCAGTAGGTCCTGGGTTCGAATCTCTCAGGGGGCGAGGTCGTGGATGCGCACTGCTGAGGAGTCCCACAATAGGACGAAACGGCCGTCCAGTGCTTCCAGGCTTTCCATGGTGGTCTAGCTTCAACTGACTCATGATCTTAATGA